GAATAGGAGGAAGCAAAGATCTTGTTTCCGGCTGAGCAGTGGGGATCAAACTCCGTGGGTATCTTCTTAGGAGTTATAGAAGGTGATTTAACTTGGTGGGTGGGGGTGGTTGACTGAAAAGATCTGAATGAGTCTAGTAGACATTACTGGCCAAGTTCTGGTGACAAGTCAGGATGGAGTCAGCGTTCCTAACCTAGTCACAGTGGTCGTGGGCTTTTAGAGTGTAGTTATCATTGTTATAGTACTGACAGTCCTTAATATTTGCAGTAATGTCTCTCAAACTGTGACACACACATTAATCACTCCAGATCTTGTTAAAATGTTGGCTGTTAAAATGCAGATCTAGGGTGCATTCTGAAATTTTGTATTTCTCACAAGCTCCCAGGTGATGTCCATGCTGCTGGTCTGTCTACCACTTTGAACAGCAAGGGTTTAGAGCAGCACTGTCCAAAGGAGCTTTCTGCAATGATAGAAGTGCTTTGCTGGTAACAAAATGCTACACACATATTAGTTCATATCAGTTGCACCACACCACACTGTTATATAATCATGCTTTACATAATGACATGTCAGTCAGCGACAGATCACATATATGATGGTGGTCCCATAAGATTATAATGGAGCTGAAAATTTTCTACTGTCTAGTGATGCTGTAGTTATCATAATTTAATTTAATCTCGTAATGTAATGCTTCACTCATGTGTTTGTGGTGATGCTGGTATAAAAACATACAATTATGTACAATACATAATAGTTGATAATTGTTACTATTACTGTGTTACTGATTTATGTATTTATTATAAACATTATTTTAAATTTTTATTTAATTATTTTTATTTAGTTATTTTTAGAGAGAGGGGAAGGGAGGGAGAAAGAGAGGGAGAGAAACATTGATGTGAGAGGGAAACATAGACTGGCTACCTCTCGTAGGGACCCTGACCAGGAACTGAACCCACAACCCAGGCATGTCCTTGTACCTTTGGAATGGAACCAGTGACCCTTTGCTATGTAGGATGATGCCCAACCAACTGAGCCACACTAGTCAGGACTAAACATTATTTTAGAGTGTACTCTTTCTACTTATTAAAAAAAGCTTGCTGTAAAGCGTATGCCGTATTACACAGACAGCGGCCTCACCCATCTCATATCTACCAAGTCTCTTGATTGAATTATTTTCTCTTGTGCTTGATTTAATCTCATGTCGTTTTATGAATTTAGTGCAGCCTAGGTGCACAGTGTTTATAAAGCCCACAGCCGTGTGCAGTAATGTCCTAGGCCTTCACATTCACTCACCACTCACTGACTCACCCAGAGCAACTTCCAGTCCTGCAAACTCCATTCATGGTAAGTGTCCTATACAGATGCACCATTTTTTATATTTTATGCTGCATTTACATTGTACCTTTTGTATGTTTAGATACAGAAATACTTACCATTGTGTTATAGATGCCTACTGTATTCAGTATAATAATGATGCTCTAAGTGTTTGTAGCCCAGGAGCAATAGGCTGTACCATACAGCCTACGTGTAGTAGTTTATATAGTCTAGGTTTGTGTAAGCGAGCTTTATGGTGTTTGAACAATAACAAAATCACCTAATGGCCCATTTCTCAGAATGTGTCCCTGTTATTAAGTGGCACATGACTGTATAGCTATAGCAGGCTTTATTATACCCATTTCACAGATGAGGAGACGGAATTTCAGTGAAGTGACTTGGTTCCAGTCCTACCAGTAAGTAATGGGAGTAAGGCTCAAACTTGGACCTCCTGATTACTAGTGTCCTTTCCACTGCCTGACCTTGCCTTCCATGTGACACTGCTTGTCTGGAGCAAGAGTCTTACCTCATAACCTAGTGAATAGTCTAGTGTGATTTTCCTGGTACAAGGAAAGTAGACGTGGAGAGAAGGTGTGGTGAACCCCCCAGTTTGCTCCTTTCCACTGGTGGGCTTGGTAATGGGGATTCTGCCTCCGACATCTTGTTTAATAACTTCAGAACATCTTGGGTTATCTGTTGGATCTCTATAGGAAGCACTTCAGCGTTTATACCCGAGCAGTGTTAAAAGTTGGGGAAAATTTAGAACTGGAGTTATGTATACAAGTAAGGGTCTGGGAAGAGCCATAATGAACCTGGGCTGATTGCGTTGCGGGGAGGGAGGCTGAAGGAAGTGTACATGCAGCTATCTGCAAGGAGTATTTTCCAAAGGGTAAAACAAGAAGAACTAGTTTTGATACTTCAGCAGGAAGTTTGGAGGTTATATAATCAAGAGCAGGTTGAGATTCCACCTTTTAGGAGCAGTCCTACTTTTTGAAGGGAAGAGGGGAGGGGATGCAATGCCCCCCTCCTTCTTCAAATATAGAGGCTTATCCCTCTGAGACATGACTCTGAGTGGCTTCTTCTGTCACCAGAGCAATTGCAGAAGTTACCTGCTTCAGCTTTGGAGAGTCCCCTTTTCCCTCTTGGAATTTAAAATAGACAGGCACAGCCTTGGCCAATGCTCAGCTGCTCGGAGTATCCTCCCATATATCAACAGGTTTTGGGTTCAATTGCCCAGGTCGGGGCACATACCCAGGTTGCAGGTTTGATGCCTGGTTGGGGTTGCTTCCTATAGGAGGCAACTGATCAATATTTCTCTCTCTCTCCTTTCCTCTCTCTCTAAAATTAATACACATATCCTTGGGTGAGGATTTTTTAAAAAGAGTAAAACAGACTGGCGCATGTCAGAGATGGAGAAAAACAGGCACTGGCTCCTGCCTTAGGATTTCTCATCAGGATACGCTGGTACTGTGTGATTCAGCTTGTAGTGCCCACAAAGCCAGGTCCTAGGACAGAATCCTTTGTTGCTCTGCCTCTGCCCTGCTTAGGACACACTTTGCATGAGCCCTGCTGTGTTTGTCCTGTGACAGTGTGACTAGCCACTCAGTTTGATCGCTCCACGAGCATACTGAGAGAACAGGGCAGCTCTTGGTTTCTCTAGAGCGGGGGTGTCAAACTCATTTTCACTGGGGGCCACATCATTCAAACTGCTTTGTCCTCCTCCAGGAAGCCTGTCTTGGTTACATGTACCTCACCAATGACTCATCTTGAAGGTGAGGTTTTTCTTCGCCTACGAGGTACTCAGTGTGCACTGCAGGTATTCTGTGCTCAGTGAAAGTTATACAGTCCAGCTGAGGGAACACGGAAAAGCTAACCTTGCTTTTCCACCGACTTCTGCATTAGCGCTGGGACTGCTTGTGTAGAACATTTCAACCCTCTGGAGTTGTGCCTTTGATATAGCACCTCCTTTCCCAGCCCTCAGGATTTCTGTCAAACCCTGGGGAGCCCCTGACTTCTCACTCCTTCTTTCCCCTTTCCCCTTGAACTTCCCACTTTTCCCTTCTGTTTGAAAATGTCTAGTACCCCACACGGGAGCATATTACACTGTTACTAGGAATATGTCTGATATATGATGTTCTCTCATTTGACAGTTCTTCAGTTGGAAGGTTCTGATTTTATGCAATTATTACATTAGTAAACTTTTTAGTTTTGTTTTGTTAGGCAGTGGATGCACTTAACATGAGGGTCACATGTACATTAATTTGCCCTGGATACTTTACCTCTATATCTGACATCCATTTTCCAGAGAGATACTGTATCTCTTGAACACACTGAGTTTCTTGAAGGCAGAACCTATACTGTGTTACTCAACTCTCCCTTCATTATCTGGAACTGATGATGAAGTTCCATGATTTTTATGATTTATATGCTTAGGAATGAAAGGGGTCAAGCATGATCTTTTCCCTGTAGTTCTCAAGACTCTTTAGGTGGTGGTTTTCTTTCTTTAAAGTGAATTATCTAATAACCAGAGAGGACTCTGACCTTTGCCTTGTCCCTGACATTCTACTCTCATTGGAGAGAGGGGAGGTGTGTGAGGGGATGCCCTGTGGTATGAAATCCCCACTGAGATTCTTCACCATACTTTTTTTAAAAAAAATTTAATTAATTAATTAAATTGTTGTTCAAGTACAGTTTTCTGTGTTTTACTTCCATCCCAGCCCACCCCGCCCCAGTGCTCCCCACCTCCCTCCCATTTCCACCCCCCTTAGTTTTTGTCCAGATGTCCTTTTTTTTTTTTTTAAGATTTTATTTATTCATTTTTAGAGAGAGGTGAAGAGAAGGAGAATGAGAGGGAGAGGATCATCAATGTGTGGTTGCCTCTTGCGTGCCCTGTACCAGGGACCTGGCCTGCAACCTAGGCATGTGCCCTGAGTGGGAATCGAACTGGCAACCCCTTGGTTCACAGCCTGTGCTCAATCCACTGAGCTACACCAGCCAGGGCTCCATGTGTCCTTTGTACGTGTTCCTGTAAACCCTTCCCCTTTTCCCCTGAAATTCCCTCCCCTGTCCCCTCTGGTCCCTATCAGCCTGTTTTGTATTTCAGTGTCTTTGGTTATATTTTGCTTGCTCGTTTGTTTTGTTGTCTAGGTTCCTGTTAAAGGTGAGATCATATGGTATTTGTCTTTTACCGCCTGGCTTATTTCACTCAGCATGATGCTTTCCAGTTCCATCCATGCTATTGTAACACCATGCTTTCTTCTAATGCAAACTGAAGAAAATTTGAGGGTAGTTAGTGCAGGCCAGGAGAGCTCAGAGGGGCCAGCATGGAAACCAGAAGTAAAGTCAGGTGAGTGAGCTGGTAAATGGTGATAAAAGGCATCCTCCTGAAGATGCGAGGCCAGGCCAAGGCAGTGCCTCCTCAGTGAGCCTAGAGCATCGAAAATGGAACTCTTCCCTTCAGCCTTTCAGAACCTCTGAAATGTCACCTAGTGACATCTCATTAGCCCACAGAAAGGACAAGTCCTTGCATCCTGCCAGGTGGTTGGTTTGTCCACGGCATTCTGAACTCTGCCTGGATGAGCCAGAGAAGGAGAATGGGACATAACAGAGGCAGAAAGAACAGAATAGCGGACAAGCAGAGGGTAGGGAGCTGAGCTGGGAGTGAAACCAGGGTTTCTGGAATTCAGGAGCACTGAAAAAAGAGAGAGAAGGGGATGGTCTCCTGACCTGTGAAGGAAGACCCAGAACAAGGCTGGGTGAAGTCGGAGCTTTGGGTAGGTGAGTACCCTGGGAGATGAAGCCTGAGAATGAGGCTTCAGAGCCTAGCCAGAAGGGGAAAGTGTGAAGTTCTGACCTCCTTCCCCACATCCCCTCACCCTGTTCAAATCCCCAGGACTTCAGGCACAATGGAAGACAAACGCAACATCCAGATCATCGAGTGGGAACACCTGGACAAGAAGAAGTTCTATGTGTTTGGTGTGGCAATGACAATGATGATCCGTGTCAGCGTCTATCCATTCACCCTCATCCGAACTCGGTTGCAGGTTCAGAAAGGCAAGAGCCTCTACCATGGGACTTTTGACGCCTTCATCAAGATCCTGCGAGCAGATGGTATGACTGGCCTCTATCGGGGCTTCCTGGTCAACACCTTTACCCTCATTTCGGGCCAGTGCTATGTCACCACTTATGAGCTCACACGGAAGTTTGTAGCTGACTACAGCCAGAGCAATACAGTCAAGTCGCTGGTGGCTGGCGGCTCAGCCTCTCTTGTGGCCCAGAGCATCACAGTGCCCATTGATGTGGTCTCCCAGCACCTGATGATGCAGCGTAAGGGTGAGAAAGTGGGCCGCTTCCAAGTGCAAGGGAACCCAGAGGGACAAGGGGTAGTTGCCTTTGGTCAAACCAAGGACATCATCAAGCAGATCCTGCGGGCTGATGGTCTTCGAGGCTTCTACCGAGGCTATGTGGCTTCGCTGCTTACCTACATCCCAAACAGCGCTGTTTGGTGGCCCTTCTATCACTTCTACGCAGGTAAGTGGGGACCAGGAGAGTGGGGTGGAGGTTGGGTTTACTAATCTGGCTAAGATACCATTGTTCTATATATGTGATAATAGGAGATTTAATGGGAGAATGGGCCATTCATTCAGCAAACAGTTGATTCAAGAGGATTCAAAGATGAATAATACATAGTAATTGCCCTGGCTGGTGTGGCTCAGTGAATTGAGTACTGGCCTGTGAACCGAAAAGTTGCTGGTTCAATTCCCAGTCAGGGCACATGCCTGGGTTGCAGGCCAGGTCCCCAGTTGGGGGTGTGCGAGAGGCAACTGATTGATGTTTCTCTCTCTCTTTCTCCTCTTTTTTTTTTTTTTTTTTTTAGAGTCCATATTTTATTAACTTTCACAGCCAGCACTGAATCAATGTTAGTTAATAAATGAATAATAAATGAGTCTTTCTCCTCTTTAAATAAATAAAGTATTTATTTATTAAAACTGTAAAAAAAATATAGTTCTTGCCTTCAAGGAACTTATATTAGAGTGGGGGGAAATCAGACAAATGAATTAGATGAATGTAGAACACAGAGTGTGTTCTGGGTGCATTGGAATCAACTAGGGCTAGTGGAATATTGGCAAGAATTGGAAGATAGGAAAGGACAACACTAAGGGGTATTTGGTATTTGAAGGTAAAATTAATGAATAATAGTGAGTGTTAGAGTTGGATGCCTTTCCTTGCCAATGTTAAATTCAAGATGTGATGAACCGTGAACCTCTCCATTCCCGTAATGTATTTTTTTACTTTAATTTTTTAATTTTTTATTTTTTTAAAGATTTTATTTATAGACAGAGGGGAAGAGAGGGAGAAAGAGAAGGAGAGAAACATTAATGTGTGGTTGCCTCTCATGTGCCCCCTACTGGGGACCTGGCCGGCAACCCAGGCATGTGCCCTGACTGGGAATTGAACTAGCGATTCTGTGGTTCGCAGGCCAGTACTCAATCCACTGAGCCATATCAGCCAGGGTCGCTGATATGCGACCTGGCTGAGTTTTATTTATTTATTTTTAGAGAGGAGAAGGGAGGGAGAAATAGAGGATGAGAAACATTGATGTGTGAGAGAAACATCGATTGGTTGTCTCTCCCATACCCCCAACTGGGGACCTGGCCCACAACCCAGGCATGTGCCCTAACTGGGAATCGAACCCGTGACCCCTTGATTCACAGGCTAGCTAGCACTCAATCACTGAGCCACACCAGCCAAGGCTATAATGTAGTTTTGTTCATAACACATTTTACTTCTTTTTAAGTATTTCCCAGAAGTGGGATTATTGTGTCAAAAGATAAGATTTTTGAGGGCCTCAGTAAACATTGCCAGATTGCCTTCTGAAAGGACAGAACACATGCCAAGAGCAGGATCGGAGTATGCCCACTACTCTGTGGCACCCACAGCTTTGGGTAACTACCAGATTCTACGTGTAGTTGCCTCTTGAGTGCCCCCCACTGAGGACTAACTACCAAATTCTAGTTAGGGCAGTATGTGTTTGCAGCAGCCTCCCTAACCCTGCTGCTGGCTTCTCACCCTTCTCATCCAGAATGTCAGTGGACATTCTGTCTCATGGCGTCTGGGACTTTTCTAACCATATTGTATGAGGACTTCCTGACCTATGATCATTGTTTTTCTACGGCACTGTACTTTTCTAGTTCTCCTGTTTTCTGACTGTACCTCTTGTTCCTCTTCTTCCCCTTCTTCTCCTTTTCTTCCTCTTCTCCTTCCTCCTCCTCCTCCTTTTTTGCTAGCTGTTTCTTTTTCTTCTGTTTAACACAATATTTCATCTATTTACTATTTATAATATTTCAATATTTACTCTATATAACACAATAGAGTATTTGGTCCAATTCACATACCTGGACTCCAACTCTGATCCTTTGTATCAGATCTTTAGGATTGAATCCTGGCAATCTTTTCATTTTTACTTTTAAGATTTTATTTATTTATTTTGAGAGAGAGGAGAACAGAGGGGAAAAAGAGAGAGAGAGAAACATCAATGCGTGAGAGAAACATGGATTGGTTGCCTCTCGCACACCCCCAAATGGGGACCTGGCCTGCAACCCAGGCACGTGCCCTGACTGGCAACTGGACCTGCGACCTTTCAGTTTTCGGGACGACACCCACCCCACTGAGCTGCACCAGCCAGGGTGATCCTAGCAATCTTAATGTTAAAAACAGCTTTCTAGGAAATATGAATATTTCCTCTGCAATCTATCTTTGCCCTTTTTTCCTCATTTGATTTTATTTACAATTGAGTTGTACTTCTCTAACATGTCCAAAAATCTCTATTTCTATTCCCAGACTAGCCTGTACAGAGCTCCCGACAAACATTCTGACTGACCTCTCAATCTGGATGCATGTGTTTTCATGTGAAATTTTGTTCAATGAACTATTCTTCATTCCCTTCTGACTTATTTATGTCCGTCAGCAGCCACGTTATTCTCCACATCACTGAGACTGAAGCCTAGGGGGTTGTGCTTGGCCACTCCCTTTTCCTTGTTACCACATGTAGTCCTTGTGACCCAGAATATCTTTCCCAACTTTCTCTCTGTTCCTGCTGCCTTTGCTGGAAACCATGTTACTGATAACACCCTGCTGGACAGCAGCATCTGTTCTCTCTGTCTGTGCCTTCCAATCCCTCACTCACCTCTTAAACAATTAACTTTTTAAAACCTGTCATGATATTCAGTGGATCCACTGCTTGCTGAGTAAAAATCCAAACTTGTCAGCTTGGCTTCAACCTCCCTTTACAGTGGGACCTCCTGCTGCTCCCCTTCGTACGGTCCCTGCTGCAGCCGGGCCAGCCAACGTACAGTGCTCCAGACATGCACCGTTCCTCCTGCCTTTGCTTGTTTGTATCATTCCTCTGCCCAGACGCCTTCCAGGGACACTTCCCCAGGCGGAACTTGACTTAATCTTTTCTTACTGTCTTCCTCATCCTCTCCATGTAGCCCTTAACCCAGAAGTGATTTTTCCTTCCTTTCAACCACCATAATATTGCTTGTATCTTGCTTAAGGCAGTTATAACATTTGCCTTGATGTTATTTGTGTGTGCCTTATCTCTTCTACAATGTGGAAATGTTCTTTTATTTTTAATGCACATTTTTCCAGCTATTTTAGATACAATTGATTGGATATTTTTTTGAAAGGGGGAGGAAACTAACGTTTGTTGAATACCCATTATATACCAGGCTCTGTGACCTGGTATATAATGACACTGTGTGTCTCAGGGCCCAGGGAATTGAAGTGCTCAGTAAATATTTGTTGAATGGATAGATTGGTTCTCATCACTCCCTTTTGCTTAAAATCTACCAATGCTGATTTATGGGCATTTAGAATAAAATCTAGTGCTTCCCTTTGTCAACACAGGTCTACGTGATCTGGCTCCTGTCTGCTTTTTCAGCCCCATCTTGTGTTTCTCCGCTTTCTCACTCGGGTCCATCCTCACTGTCTTTCAGTTCCTGAAACACACCAAGCTCTGTTGTTACTGCAAAGCTCTTGCAGATAACACTCTTTCTGCCTGGAATACCCATTCTTTGTATGGCTGGTCCTTCTCATGCTTCAGGCCTTAGCTTCCATGTCACCTTTGCAAAGTGAACTTCTTTAACTACCCAGTTGGAAAGAGGACTCTTTTCTTCTTCAGCACCTTGTTTCCATAAGAGCACTTGTTATAATTTGTAGTAATCTTATTTCCAACTCCCAGCTCCTTAATTAGACTGTGAGTTCCATGAAGGCATTTCTCTGTTCATTTCTCTGTTTTATGTCAAGTGCTTATTTCAGTGCCAGACATCTAGTAAGCATTAAATAAATATTTATTCATATTACTTGTCCAAAGTCATTTAGCCAGGAGGGACTTAAACCAAGTTAGATAGTAGGTGTCCAGTAAACACTTACTGAATGAATAATGGAGAAGGAAAGACATGGGGCTCTTTCCCCCACCGCCTTGCCTTTGACTTTCCATCTTCTCTCCAAGCCCCAGGAAAATGGCATGTATGCATGACTAGCATTGGAATCTGGGTCCTACTGCAGCGCACAGGCTTGGGGCCAGTGCAGACAGGCCCAAGGAGGCCGGCAGTGCCAGTCCAGAGCCTCCCTAGTAGTGGTTATGAAACGCTTTCTCCTCTAGAGAAACAGGACACCCATGAGGTGGAGCCACTGCTTTACTCCGTTTCTGTTTGTATGCTGACCCTGGGGAAGAAGGCGATCAGAAATCAGGGACAGGCGGTTCTGGTAGGGTTTAAGGAGTTCTGCCTGCTGCCAGGACTTCGAGGCTCTCACTTCTGCCCTGCCAGCATCCACCATCATACTTGCCTCCTAATATTTAGTTGCCCGACCACAAATTACCCACACTCGGAGCCTCAGAAAAAACTCTGAAAGGTATTATGATGGTGGAATTGTAGAGAGATACTGAGAGTGGATCTTCGAGATGATAAGTCTGTTTTATATCCAGTCTCACTTAAAGTAAAAGCCACAGCTTTGCAATGGCTTCAAGGTCCTAAATGACTTACCAGTTGGATCTCATCTACTGTTACTTCCCATTCTGCTCCAGGCACACTGGCCTTGCTGCCCTTCGAAGACTTCAGGTGTGTTCTTGCCTTTACATAGGATGTTACTTCTGCTTGGAAAGTTCTTCCCACAGGGCCATATGGCTTGCATGCTTTTTTAGGACTTTGCTTAAACTTCACCTTCTTAAAGAGGGCTTTCATGACTGCCTTGTTTAGATTGACAACCCCTTCATCCCCTACCCTTGGCATTTCCTGTCTTCCTTTCCTGCTTTATTATTTTTTTGTTTTAGATTTTAAAAATTATTTATTTTTAGAGAGAGGGGTAAGGAGGGAGAGAAGGAAAGAAACATCAATGTGTGGTTGCCTCTCTCACACCCAAAACAAGGGACATGGCCGGCAACCCAGGCATGTGCCCTGACTGGGAATCGTGCTGGCAACCCTTTGATTCACAGGCCCGTCATTGCTGCTTTATTTTTATTGATAGCTAGCACACATCACCTTCTGATAAAGCTCTGTATTTTGTTTTTTATTTGTTTATTGTCTGTTTTACCCCACTAAAATGTAAATTTTATAGGGGCAGGGATTTTGAGGTGCTTTTATTCACTGTTATATCCTGAGAAGCCAGGGTGACTGGCTCACGGTAGCCACTTGATATGTCTTCGTTGAGTAAAGGCATGAATCTTGTCTTTCACCTCCAGACAGGGGAAAGCGAACGATTCAGTTGCAGATGAACTTCCCAGTGGTACTGGAAATGGGTGAATCTGGGTATTATTCAATATTCTTCATTAACGTTTTGAAAAATGAATTTTTCTTTCTCGATATAGGCTGGAGAAAAGTTCTCACTGTAGGATATGACTTTTTTTTTTAACTGTAATTGTTGTTACATGTAAAAACATTTACATGGTTCAAAATTCAAAAGGGAAGATGGGGAGTACTGTGAAAAGGCCCCTGACGCACTCCAGGCAGCGTTACCGGTTTTCAGTGTGTCCTACCAGTCATCCAGTGCACAGCATAGAGAATATGTAGCATGTGCTTTTCTAGCCTATGAGTTGGGTGGAGTAGGGTCCAGGCATAATATTTTTTTAATGTTTTTTTAAAGATTTTTATTTATTTATCTTTAGAGGGAAAGGGAAGGAGAGAGGGAGATAAATATCAATGTATGGTTGCCTCTCGTGTGTCCCCTGCTGGGAACTGGCCTGCAACCCAGCCACGTGCCCTGACTGGGAATCGAACCTCGATCCTTTGGTTCGCAGGCCCGCACTCAATCCACTGAGCTATGCCAGCCAGGGCCAGGCATAATATTTTTATATCAGGAAAGATTTCACTTCATCAGATGAAAGGAATAAGCAAGAAAAGAGGTTTTGAAATTTCCTTCTGGAAAGAGCCAGAGATGTATAGTGTTTTGTTGGTTCAGAAGGATGCAAAGAAGAAAAAAAAGACGGGAATTGTAGGGATGGGGCAGGGATCGGTCTAAGGTGGTTAAGGATGGAGGGTTTGGGCCGACTGGTAGGAGCAGTGTGAGGGCAGACGGGGTGGCACCTCATGTCTTAAGGCATTGTCTTGCCCTCCATTCCAGAGCAGCTCTCACACCTCTGCCCTAAGGAGTGCCCTCACATTGTCTTTCAAGCCATCTCAGGGCCACTGGCTGCAGCTACCGCTTCCATCCTCACCAACCCCATGGATGTCATCCGAACCCGAGTGCAGGTAAGACCAGCCCCCTCCCCCAGCCTCCTCCCACACGAGCCACTAGGTATGTTTAACAATTTTTTTTCACCTCCATTTATCCCCTTATACCCCCTTCCACCTCTACCCACCTCCCTCCCCTCAACAATTACCACACGTTGTCCATGTCCATGAGTTCTTTTTTTCTTCTTTTTTTTTGTTGATCCCTTCAATATTTTTAAAATTTTATTTATTGATTTTTAGAGAGTATTACTGTCTAAAAATTGATTTGGTGTTCCACTTGTTTATGCAGTTACTGGTTATTTTTTTATTTTTAAGATTCTATTTATTTACTTTTAGAGAGGGGGGTAGATAGGGAGAAATATTGATGTGCAAGAGAAACATCTGTAGGTTGCCTCTTATGTACCCCCAACTGGGGACCAAACCCACAACCCAGGCATGTGCCCTGACTGGGAATCAAACCATCAACTCTTCACTCTGCGGGACAGTGCCCAACCAACTGAGCCACGCCAGTCAGGGCTCATTGGTTGATTCTTGTATGTGCCCTAACTGGGGATCAAATCCGCAATCTTGGTGTTTCAGGATGACACTAAGCCAGCAGTCCCAATCTTTCTGGCACCAGCAGCCGTTTTCGTGGAAGACAGTTTTTCCACAGACTGGGGTGGAGTAAGGGGAGACAGGAGGCTGAGCTCAGTGCTAATGGGAGTGGTGTCCACACGACAGAGGAAGGGAGGCTAGGGACCCCTGCTCTAACCAACTGGGCTACCCAGCCAGGGTCAATCTAGGTGTCGTTTTTAAATAATTTTTTATTTTTCAGTTACAGCTGACATGCAATATTATATTAGTTTCAGGTGCACAACATAATGATTAGTCATTTGTATAAATTACTAAGCGATCATCCCGATAAACCTAGTACCCATCTGACACCATTTGGTTGTTATTGTATTCCCTATGCTGTACCTTACATCCCTGGCACTGTTTTTCTAACCAGCAATTGGCATATCTTAATTCCTTCCCCCTTTTTTAAGAGAGTAAAGATTTTATTCACTCTCGAAGAAAGGAGAGGGGCATGGTATGGAGAGACAGACCAGCGTCCTTCCCTTTTTTCATCCAACTGCCTCTAACCTCCTCTCATCTGCTAACCATCAAAATGTTCTCTGTATCATGGAGTCTGTTTCTATTTTGTTTGTTTGTTTATTTTTTATATTGCACATATAAGTGAAATCATATATTTGTCTTTCTCTGTCTGACTTATTTCATTTAGCTTAATTACCTCTAGATCTATCCATATTGTTGCAAATGGCCAAGTTCATTCTCTCTTTTTTTTTTTTATTTTAATCTTCAATGTAGTTACTAATTTGAGAGAGAGAGAGGGATTGATCGGTTGCCTCCCATATATGCCTTGACCAGGGATTGAACCTGCAACCCTTTGGTGTATGGGACGATGCTCCAACCAACTGAACCTCCTGGCCATTTTTTTTATGGCTGAGTAATATTCCATTGTATGTGGAATATTAGATTCCATATCTTAGATTGCTTCCATATTTTAGTTTTAGAGAATAATGCTGCAATGAACATAGGCATACACATGTCTTTTCAAACTAGTATTTTGGATTCCTTCCAATAAATACCCAGAAATGGAATTGCTGAGTCCTTTTTTGTTTCTTGTTATAGCTTTGTTTTAAAGTCTACTTTGTCTGATGTAAGTATTGCTACCTCAGTTTCTTTTCCCATTTTCATTTGCACATAATACCTTTTTCCAGATCTTCACTTTCAGTCTATGTCTTTTGATCTGAAATGGGTCTCTTGTAGGCAGCATATGTGTGGGTCTTGTTTTCTTATCCATTTAGCCACCCCGTGTCTTTTGATTGGGGCATTTAATCCATTTACCTTTAAAGTAATTAGGTGTGTATTTAGTGCCATTTTATTTACATATTTTTAAATCTTTTTTTTTTCCCTTCTTCTTAAAAAAGTTCCTTTGATGATTTCTTTTAACTTTTTCCTATCTGGAAAAATCAGATGATTGCTTTGCAAATAATAAGGTACATAGGTTCCATCTTTCTTCTCTCCTGAGCCTTATCCTAGGTGTTCCACAAGGAGGTCCAGGGAAAGGACAGGTCCCTACTGTGGGGTGCTCCCAGGCCGGAGGAGATGAAGTGCACATGAGGGCCAGAGTTATAGCTATAAAGCCCGCAACATGGCCTTGGATGAGTGTGAGGGTTAGGGGAGCAGAGATGGTCAGATGAGAGTACTCCTGAGAGGAGTGTGGGAGAGGTATGACGAGTAGGGAAAGGTTCTTAGCCATAGATAAGATCACCTTGTGAAGGTCCCACAGTACAGGGGGGTGTATAACAAGGAGTGTATCTGTCCTGCCTTGACCAGGGATCTGAGTGGGCAGCCTCTAAAGGTGTGGTTTGGTGGCAGGGTATGGGACAGGGGGAAGGGGACAAGACTGTGGAGAAAGAAAAGAGATTCCTGCCTTAGCCAGGCTTCCAATGTGATATGGAAGATAGGTGCCTGGGAGACACCAGTCAGAGGGAAGGACTCTAGCCAAGGGGGTTCAGAGGAATTGAGATGGTCAGAATCAAAATCACAGACTGGCAGAGTTGCAGAGGACCTTAGAGGTGATTTAATCCAGCTGCCCTGAGAACAGAGAGAAGCACACAGTCCAAAGACTGATAGCTTTGTAGCTCATCTAATGATATTAAGTAATGGCTAATGTTTATTGAACACTTACTGTCTGCCAGGCCCCGTTCTCAACATTTACTAGTATTCTTTTGTATACTGCTCAGAACAACCACATGGCATAGGAACAATGATCACTGTTTTATATTCAAGGAAACTGAGGTACAAAGAGTTAAGTAAATTACCTGAGGTTATGTGTTAGTAAACTGGGGAGCAGGATTCAAATTCACCCTAAGGCAGAGGGGGAATGAGCAAAGGAGCTTTGACTGTAGACTATGTATGACCTTCCACTGTGTTGACTTTTCTAGGTTGAGGGCAAGAACTCCATCATCCTGACCTTCAGACAGCTGATGGCAGAAGAGGGGCCTTGGGGCCTCATGAAGGGCCTCTCAGCTAGAATCATCTCAGCCACGCCCTCTACCATTGTCATTGTGGTGGGCTATGAGAGCCTCAAGAAACTCAGCCTCCGACCTGAGCTGGTGGACTCGAGACACTGGTAACCAGTGGTGGGAGAGAAGCCTGCTGTTTCCCACACTACTCTGGGTCTAGGGCAGAGGAGGGAGGATAGCACCCTCTCCAAGTGCCCCTGACACATACCTAGCCCTGCCCTGGGCCAGGTGCCCTGTCTGGGACAGGAACAGAGACTGAACTGCTCTCGCCGAAGAGGCCCCACACCTGCATCTCCTGCACCGATTATTTTTAGTTTTCTTGCCAAACTGGGCTCCCTCACTCAGTCCTTGTATTCAATCCTGTCCTAAGGAAACCCACCCTCCCCGCCGGTCCCATTTCACCCCTCCCCTGCTAACCCTTCTGGCTTCCCCTTCCATCTCTGTCCCTGAGATCCTGGTAAGAGCTGTACGTAGAGCTTGCTTACTACCACTGGTTCTTCTACTTGGGCATTCAGCCCAGATTCCAAGCAGCTGCCACCAACCCTTTCCCGCTTCATCTCTTAGGCTTGCTTATTTTTATTTTGGGACTGATTTGTCCACCAGACTACTATACTTTTTCCTGCCACTGGGGGCAAGGTGCCAGGCACTTTTGCACAGGGAGGAGAAATAGCAAAAAACCTCAGAGTACTCATCCTCTCTTTGGAGTAACTAGGTTGGGGAGAAGTGTTAATACTTTATTTTGTGTGTTTATATTTTTTAACATCTGTGAACCAGGTACCGTCTTTGTCCTGCTAAGGCACCAATACAATCCTACAGTCAGTGTTTAACCCTCCCACAGACAGGTAGAAAAATGTAATGTAGCTTTCCCTTCAATCTCAGTTTCCTATTCCTTCCATGTCCCTTCAGTTTCTTAGCCCCAGGACATATAAGCTGTTGTCTTCCCCTGACCCAAATGACTCATGGTAGGCATAATTCTAAGTGGATCGGGCTATCTGGGGCACACAGAACTTGGAGCACTACCCTGAAAAGTTAGGTTGAGAGTGGAGCTGGTTTGGAAAACAACAAGAGGGTATGTGTGCCCCAGCCCATCTCCCCAGACCAGCTGGGCCAGGCCTAGGAGAGGGCAGTGTAGGTTCTCAGCCCCAAGCAATGATAACATAACGTGTATGTACCCCAATCACTTGGACTCATGGAAACAGCTGTTGTCTCATAATGGGAATCTCTGATACATGGAACTGTTTGTGTTTTCTTCTCCCCAACATGAACTCATGCCAGTCATGGTACCCTTTAGAGGGATGCTTGGAAGAGAGTAAAGAGCTGGTCAGGAAATCACCCAATACCAGGACCACTGCATACCAGCCTGATACTGCCGAGATTAGCTGATGCTCTCAGGAGCTAGATGATGAACGCTGCTTCCCTGCCTCATCCTCCCCACCTCGTCTACCAAGCCTGTTGTGCAGGTGAAGAGAGATGCAGGAAACGGGATGAGAAGAAATCATATGAAACCCTACACTTCTACTTGAGACATTTGGCCAGAATGATTCTTCAAACCTTCTTATTGGTCCCACCCCCTGGGAAGGGCCATGGTGCCAATTTGAAAGGTGCTAGCTACCTTCTGAAGCCTTTCTATTTCTTATGGCTGCCCCACATTCTGTCACCCTGGCCAGATTCAGATCAGAATCTGAAGACCACATTTTTCTACTTTTACTACCACCACTGTCCATCCTGGGATTTTATCTTTGAGGGTTATCTTCCCTTTAACTTATCTTTATTTTTATTTGCCTTTTCTTGCACTTTATCAAGAGTTCAATTTCTGTCTACAAATGGTCATCCAAAGGGTTGGGCCCATAGATCATTCTGAATTTTCCTGCCCCTCAGTGACCCCTTTACCTTAGAACCCCCAACAAAATAGAAGCTAGCCTTCTCTCTCTTTAAACTCATTCTAGTGACACCTTTGGAGATTGTATTCCAGCTCAACTCCTTCCCCTCCCTAGAAACTTGTCCCCACTATGGCCAAGTGGGTAAAGTATCATGGTCAGGACACAGTCTCCTGCCTTTCATGCCTTAGAATGTTTCTCCTTTGTTCTATTTTCTTGTACAGTATTTCATAGCCTTTTAGCCATTCTCTCCCTTCCTCCCTCCCTCTCCTCTCTCGTTTCAAAGGATGATGAGCTTATTATTATTTTTTTTTTATAATGAAAGAACCCCTGGTCACTACTTTCCCATCTAATTGGGTTCCATTAAAACATGACTTGGTGGGAATGGGACAGTGGGCTTCCGTTTTCCCAGGACCATAGACAGCAGTTTTAATGTAGTAGTCCATAGCCAAAACTGGAAGAAACTCGGGAGACCGAGCAAGATAGAAAAACTGATGCGAGTATTGAGGGACAGAGGAACGAAAAAACCGATGCGGTAACATTTGATAAAGTGACTCTTGTGAATAATAACTGCAAACATTCATTCACTGTTGCACTGTACCAAGTCTGTGAAGTGTAATTAAAAGTTTGTATTGAGCCCCTGAGCTGTGGCTGGCACTCATTTTGCCGGCTTGCGGAGGAAGTACTCCAACGCACTACAGCACTGCTTTTATCAGCGGTCAACCGTCATCCTCCAGCAGCCTATGAGTCGCGGCTTCCAATAGGAAGCACCCGTGCCGAGGGCGGCCAATCGGAGGCCTCGGTGGGTGGGGCAACAGGGCCAGTTAGAGTTGGCGGTTCGACTTCAACATGGCCGAAGCAAACAGTGCCAGTGTAGGAAGCGGCTGTGAGGAAAAGGGGCCTGACGGATCGCCTGCCGAATCTGTGCCCCACAGCACTACCATTTCCAGGCTGAAGCTCCTCGACACCACAGTCGATACTTTTCTCCAGAAGCTGATAGCCGCCGGGAGGTAAGGTGGAGGATACGGAGATGAGAACTCATCTAGCAGAAGCAAAGAGGACCGAGTTTGGTCCGTTAGTGTAAATCCCGCGAGATGAGACCGTGGCGGTAAAACGATGGAAGAAAAAAAAAAGTTCATCACGTGGGGTGGGGGGGGTCCGGGGGCGGGTCACGTGATGTGTGCTTACGTAAGTTACGGAGCAAACCTTAAAGACTAGTTACTGGGTCCGCCAGCTAGTCTAGTTTGGACCTGAACTTCCGGTGGTTGAGAAGAAAGATACAGGCTTTGGAGTTGATCAGAGTTGGAATCATGGCCCAACATAATGTGAGCAAGTTTTAACCGCTTTGTGCCTCGTCCCCGATCAGTAAAATGGCAACAATAGGACCTTTCTCAAAGGGTCCTTTTAAGATTTAAATGAGTAGATGCATGAAAGGCGCTTAGACAGTGCCTGCCACATGGAAAACATTAGATTTCAAGTGTTATTTTGGGAATAATAATGCCTTCACTGAGTGGTGGTGAGGACTTAGTGCATTACCATAGAAACACTTCTGTCCTGATTTTTATTTTATGTGGACAGTATTCTAATAATATTGGGGTTCTAAAGGGAGAGTTTTGCCCATGATCCCACCACCCAAAATGTTAATGCTGAAACACTGTTTTCAGAACTTCAAGGTCTCTGACCGCAGCCTGTTCTCCCTCCAACCCTGCATGTCCCCACTCCTGTTGTTTGACCCGGTCAGGATTCCCATTTTCTCCCAGCTTTCCTACCTCCCTCCTTTCCGGCAGAGCTGTTATGATCTATCTCTTCTCTTGTTGATTCTCATAGCAATTATTTGAGTACCTGCTCTGCCAGCCACTGTGTCAGGTGCTGGAGATAAGACCAAGCAGATGGAGCCCCCATCTTGGACCTTATATTCCATGGATAGAGACGTTCAGTAAACAAAATAATCACAGAGCTTGGTAAGGTAAAGAACAGGTGATGTGATAAGAGCAATTTGGAGGAAAGGAAGACACTAGCTAGGATGATTAGGGGAGCCCACTCTGAGGAAATGATATTAAGCTGAAACTAGAAGAATGAAAGAACTAGAGAAAAAGCATATAGGCAAAGGGTAAAGCTTGGGCAAAGGCGCAAAGACAGTGAAGGCATTCTAGGAACTGGCAGAAGGAGGCCTGGTTGGCTACAACATAGGTAAAATCAGAGGAAGCTGGAGAGCCAGGTGATAGCCTTATCATGCAGGATCTAATTTCAATAGTAATGAATTTGATAAAATAATTGTAATTATTTTTATGGATCATTCATGACACACTATTATTTGTGTGTCCTGTCTTTGATTGGTTGATTTTCCTCTACCCATCCTTGCCCTCCTTTCCCTTCCCCATAGGGCCTGCTGTCTGTTGGCTCTGTGTCCACCATTTATTCATTTCTTCAGGCACAAATATTTATCAACCATCTACAATGTGCCAGGCTCTGTCCGGGGAGCTGGAGCTATAACAGTGATCAAGACAGGAAGGTACTGTTTTCATGGAGTAGACATTCTAGTGCCATAAAGAAAAATAACCCTAACTGGTGTGACTCAGTGGATCAAGCATTGGCCAGTGAACCAAAGAGTTGCTGGTTCGATTCCCAGTCAGGGCACATGCCTGGGTTGCAGGCTGTGCAAGAGGCAGTGGACAGATGTTTCTCTTGTACATTGATGCTTTTCTTCCTCTCTTTTTCCCTCCCTTCCCCTCTTTCTAAAAAGTAAATAAAATGTTTAAAAAATTTTTTTTGAAAAAGACAAAGAAATCAAGGTAAGAGAATAGAAAGGAATAGGAGAAGGGTCTGGTTTAGTGTGAGTGCAAGGAAGTGACATTTTAATATATTTGTATTCTTGTAAAGCATGTTTTGTCTGTTTTAAGTTTATATAAATGATCATTTTACTACATATCTCTTTTCACTCAACACCTGTTTTGCACTGTTCAAGGTTTATTTGGTGTTTTAGTTGGTATGACACTTGGATAGTTGGCTGCGTTGTTAACATGTAGACTTTTTACATCACATGTCGGTGTACACTATTCTATACATAAGTACACAAAACAAGGTCCTTTAGAATAGTTATGCACTAGACGTGCAATATGGGATCCCAGGATGTCATCGTTTGGAGGAAAAAGTTGAAGTAGGCGTGTCGAGTAAAGGAACCACAAATTATATAACATGCAGTGAACACACATCTAGTTTGAAGGGCACTGTCACATCAATGCCATTTTTAAAAAAGGTCTCACCATGTATGGCAAGTGCATGTGGTTTAGAGCTGCTTGTCATTCCATGATAAGTGTCCCACTTTTACCCACTGTCTCTCACGGACACCTCCTGGCCTCCACTTCCTGCCTCCATAAATTTCATCAGGATGAATGTCCTTGTACATCCCCTCCTGGAGTAGTGCTAGAATTTCTTTTTCTTTTTTAAGATTTTATTTATTTATCTTTAGAGGGGAAGGGAAGGAGAGAAGGGGAGAAATATCAATGTATGGTTGCCTCTTGTGTGTCCCCTGCTGGGAATGGGCCTGCAACCCAGGCATGTGCCCTGATGGGGAATCGAACCTCGATCGTCTGGTTCACAGGCCTGCGCTCATTCCACTGACCTATACCAGCCAGAGGTAGTGCTAGAATTTCTGAGTCTATAATGGAGAGGGATCACTGGGCCTAAGGGTTTTGTCAGATTGCTTTCCAGAAAAGCTGTTCCTATCTCCTATAGCCTTGCTGTCAGTGGGTATCCACCATTCTAGTATTGGCTATTCTGGAGTTGTGAAAGGGGTATTTCATTATTGTTTGCGTTTGCATATTATTGATTCCCTCAGAGGTTTGAGCATTTCCTCATATACCTGTTTGTTATTTGGCTTCCTCTTCTGCAAACTGCCTACTCATTTCCTCCAGGGTTGTTTTTTCAGACCCATTTTTTTTAAATTGGAAGTTTTTATCTTGATTTGGTGCAGTTCCTGGTATAGTGTAGAAATCAATCTATCAGTTTTAGACCAAAGGAGGGATTATCTTTTTGTTAGGTGCTAACTTTGTCTGTAATGTCCTTTGAGAAACAGAAATCTTTTTTTTAAAGATTTTATTTATTCATTTTTAGAGAGTGGGGAAGGGAGAGAGAAAGAGAGAAAAACATCAATGTGTGGTTGCCTCTTGCATGCCCCCAACTGGGGACCTGGCCTGCCACCCAGGCATGTGCCCTGACTGGCAGTCAAACCAGCAGTCCCTTGGTTTGCAGGCTGGTGCTCAGTTCACTGAGCCACACCAGCCAGGGCAGGAACAGGAATCTTCAAATAAAAACCCCACAGATTACAGTACTTTGCAGCTGACGCCAAGAGAATAAAGTAGAGAAATGCAGTAATCCCAGTGGACACCCTCATAGGCTGTTTGGATCTTTATGACTCTCCTTTCTCAGCCTCCAGACTAACTCAGCATCCCACAGTCATGGTAAATTAAGTACTGCCTAACCTATTTTTTAAACTCTTAATTTTCATGTGATTACATTTCCCCCCTTGTAGTTTTGTGCTTTGGGGGTCTTGTTTATAGAGGCTATACTCACACCTAGGTCACTAAGATAGTCTCCAGTGTTTTCTTCTGTTAGCTATTTTATCATTTTACTCTCTACTTAAAATCTTTCATCTTTCTAGATTAAGGTGAAAGTGGTGGTCTTAGCCAGTTTCATTTATCTTGTTTTCCCAGGCGTTGTCAACTAAACAGTTTGTCCATCCCCACTGCTTTATGGAGCCCTCTTACGTGGCAAGTCCCTCTGCCTACTGTGCCCCTCGGCTTCTCTTCTGTGCCACCGATATGTCGGCCATCTTTGTGCCTATGCATGTGGGTTCGTAACACCAGGCCTTCATAGAAAACCTTAAGTGTAGTGCAAATAAATCCCCTTCTCTTTAAAATTGGCCCAGGGAGACCTTGATTTTTCCTTGTAAGCTTTAAAGTGAATTTTTCTCATTACTCAAAACATTTAGCTGCAATTTTGGTTGGGGTTGTAAAGAATTTATGGATCAGGCCCTGGCTGGTGTAGCTCAGTGGATTGAGCACAGGCCTGCTAACCACAGGATCGCAGTTCGATTCCCGGTCAGGGCACACGCCTGGGTTGCAGGCCAGTTCCCAGCAGGGGACACATGAGAGGCAACCATACATTGATGTTTCTCTCCCTCTCTCCTTCCCTTTCCCTCTAAACATAAATAAATAAAAAACCTTTTTTAAAAAACTGCTAAAAAGAATTTATAGATCAGTTTGGGAGAACTGGCTGTCTCTGCAATGTACAATAAAGTTCTAAAGGTCTTTAGAGAACTCATGCATTCTCTATTAGGTGCTGCCTAACACTATAGTTTTGTCACCATTGTGAATGCTCTTATTTTCTATTTTCTTCTAAAATTAGTTGTAGATGCCTTAGAGAAATTACTGATTTTGTAAGATTATTTTGTATCTAGCAGTCTTGCTCCAGTCTTAATAAAGTTTAACCTCCCTCAGAGTACCCAAATCATAGGTGCCCAGCTTGATAACATTCTACAAAATGAGCACACCCGTGAAACCAGCACCTAGTCGGAGCCCTAGGAGGTACTCATGTGCTCCATTCGCTCTTTACCTTAAGCTGAAAGGGCAACCATTTTCCTGACTTCTGTTTCCATGGGTTAGTTTTGGCTATTTTTTTTAACTTTATTAAGTGAAATTGTATAGTATGTTATCTTTTTAAAAATTCTTTTGGATTTTATTTATTTATTGTTGGAGAGAAGGGAGGGAGAGAGAAAGGAAGAAAAATATCGATGTGTGAGAGAAACATCGACAGGCTGCCTCTTGCACTCCCTCAACTGGGGACCTGCCCGGCCACCCAGGCATGTGTCCTGACTGGGAATCAAACCAGTGACCTTTCAATTCATGGGCCAAGGCTCAGTCCACTGAGCCACACCAGCCAGGGTGTCATTTCAGTTTTTTCATTGAGATATAATTTACATGTCACAAAATTCACCCTTTAAAGTATACAA